ATGGTCTTACTGTGGAGCCCAAGTTGGCCTCAAACCTGCAATCCCCCTGCCTCATCCTCTCCTTCTCAATGATGGGATTATTTCTGGCTTTCACCGGCACATGCATACACCCACACACAGCGTAATAATTAAAAAGACAATTTTCTTTAGACAAAGTTGGCCTAGACATTCTCCTAGTTCAGCCTTGCGGGGATTCTAAGTGTGAGGCACCATTTCTGGTCAATGCATGGATCTGAAGCAGCAAATTCTATCCAGTCTAGTGAACACATGCATAAGCCCTACTGAGACACAGCTCCTAGAAGCCCCCTACCCTGCTAGCTAGCTCTCTCTACCAGCAATGTCACCAGTCCATGTCATCCAGTCAGCTTCAATTAAGACTCCTTCTAACCGAGTTCTTGCTGTATAGCCTAGGCTAGCCCTAAATTCTGAAGACCACCCTGGCTCGGAAGATCAATGCCACACTCGCATGCATTCTGTAACCAATGGAGTAATTTCCATTCTCAAGCCTTATTTATTTAGCAAGTATTTTTAAGGTCACAGCTGCCACATTCCTGTAATCCCAAGACTGAGAGGCTGACACAGGAAGACTAGTAAGTCTGAGGCCAGCCTGGGTCACCAAGAGAGATCTTGACTCAAAACACAAACCAGAGGATCTGGGAAAAGTAAACAGAAAACTTGTAGACAGAACTCAAATACCGTAATAACTGTGATTTCTGGGGGAGTAAAAACATCAACAGAAGTAGAAGCAGGCAGATCTCTGTGAGTTCTGGGACAGCTAGAGCTCCGTAGTAAGATAACACCTTGTCTCACAATTCCAAAACAACCAAACCAAAAGTGGCATGTTCTCCTACCTTTTAGCCCCTACTGCTATCTTTTGGTAAAATGCAAACTTTAAAAGACAAGCTGCTTCACATGATAAGTAAACAGTTTCTTGAAGGGGGTGTGAAGGGACACAGGATTCGTACCACTACGTAGACTTGCCGTACTGGGTAAAATGCTCCCCACCAGCACAGCACACCACAGAGAGGCAGCTATTAATACCCAACCCAGGCGGCACAGCACACTTCAGGAAGGCTCTGGTGCCAGCTGGTGCTGGCTAGCTTTATACATCACAGCGCCCGCCTTGTCTCTTCAGGGCCCTCGGCGACTCAAGCGTAGCTCACACATGATTACTGTGCATGCTGGACTCCTGCTCTGCCTGGCTTGCTGGGCCGTAGTCTGGAGCCACACCACAGACTCTCTAGGGCATGCCTGTATCACTGCATTGAGCTGTGAACCTAAAGAATATGCTGTTTGAAAAAGCTCCTGCCAATGCTGTTTCCCTTTTAAAAAAAAAAAAAAATTCATTTTTATGTACATGGTTGTTCTGCCTTCATGAATGTACACTGCATACGTGCATTGTCCAGAGAGGCCCCAGGAGATGTCAGACCCTCTAGAAATGGAGTGACAGACGGCTGGGAACTGCCATGTAGGTGCTGGTAATCTGGGCCCTCTGGAAGAGCAGCCAGTGCTCTTAATCACTGAGCCATCCCATCTCTCCATCCACGAAGCAACACTATTATTATAGAGTAAAACTGAAGAACTCTGTATCATAGAGTTAATTTAATACAGAGACTAACCAAGGAACTCATTGATCCAATGGGTAAGAGCAGTCTCCAAACGTCCACCGGACAGAACCTAGCGCACAAGAACAAGGCTGATGCCAGCCTCTTCCCTGGTTGTCCAGCGAGGTGATGCGTGAGCACCGAGAATGGGTTCTACCGACCTGTTTTTCATCAGCCGTATTTCTCTCTTCAGTTGGGGGTCATCTGTCTTCGTTGTCTGGGATGCAAGAGTCACAGGTGACGTCATCACCACGGTCTGTGGAAGCGACGTGGCAGACGGTGTGGTGCGGATCTGGTAAGTCTGCATATCTCCTGACGCAGCTGTGGAGTCAAAGCGGAGTTACTCCCGAAGCCTGGGACATAGGCCGGGACACCCGTCGCTTAGGGGGTGGGGCACACTTACTCTGCACAACCACCTGGTTGGTCGGGACAAGTATCTGCTGCCCGTCTGAGGTCTGTGCGCACTGCAGGAGCGTGCCTTGCGGAGCACTGCCCGAGTTCGTCATGGTTAACGTCTGCAGGCCCTGCACTCCATCTGCGCCTGGACTGGCCAACTGCAAGGCTCCGTTGGGGGCAATGGCAACTTTAACCAAAGAGAGGAAGTGGTCATACACAACACACGAATTCAAAGAAGGGTATAAAAAAATTTAAAAATGGGTTGAATGCAGTTCTACCTGGTTAAATCATTGGCCACTCTGGGTAAACCAGAAAAAGAAAACAAAATAGCAATGTCTTTGTAAAAGGAATTTTACACATACTACCTGAGATTTAGTCTCAAGCTATGTAACACACAGTGAATCAGAAACAACAGCACATTTTGGGTCCAGGGGCATTTCGCACTAATTGTTAACGTCACAGAGCTCTGGGCACCAATGAGGCAGCACATCTAGCCCTCGCACTGCCACCTCCGCAGCCAGCTACTAATTCCTCACCTGTCCCGAACTCCAGAGAAGGGAAGCACGGGGCACTGGCCCACACTGTAGAAATGGCCCGCTGGTTAAAGGCTTTCTGTGGGATCAGCAGCACCAGGGTTTAAGAGCCCAGTGCTCATGGGCTAAGTCCGGCATCCTATGTCCACCTGTAACTCTAGTTCGGAGGTGTGGAGCCATGACTGCCGGAGCTTGCTGTGTCAGGTCTAGGGAGAGCCTGGCTTCCTCTTCTGGCCCGTGTGCAGGCCCCAATGCACACATATACATACACAAGCACACCGAAAGACAAGTCCGCCTTAGGAGTTTTCCCTTTAAGTAACACTTAGACACAGGAATGAGGAGGTCAGCCATATGACTATCTGCATGAGGTAATGCTAGACCCTGAAGGATAAACACGAACACTGTGGTTGGAAGTACAGAAGGAAAGCCTGTGTGAGTACTGGAAGGCCGGGACAAAAACTCGCTACAGCACTTAGGCCGTTGACATTATCCCGGCTGTGACAGAAAGCCACTGCAAGGACTGGAGCCAGGGTCTATTTGACATATATATATATATATATATATATATATATATATAGGCTCTGGTGCCGTCTAACCTCAGCTCTGTGCGCCGGACTCAGGCACTTCACCTCCAAGGTGCATGTCAGCTGCCGAGCAGACAGTGGTCAGGGTTACACAGCAATCTATCAACCCCCAAAGCGAGCCTTGGCCACATACACTGCAGCCGCAGAGAGCCCGGGGGGCACGCAGCACCAACTCTAAGTCCAACCTCAAAACAGACTGAAAATAAAGATGTAACTATGCTGTTAATATCTGATCAACTTCAGTGTGGTGGTAGCACACACCTTTAATTCCCGCACTCAGGAGGCAGAGATAGGGGGATCTCTGATTTAATAAATTCAAGGCCAGCCTGGTCTACCAGCAAGTTTGCCAAGGATATACAGAGAAACCCTATCTCAAAAAAACAAAGACAGACAGAAAATTTTTAATTCTTAGAAGCAACTGGATATGACAGCACATACCTTTAATTCCAGATGTGGAGGTAGCTAGGTCTCTGTGAGTTCTAGGCCAGCCGCAGCCACACAGTGAGATACTTAATTAAGTTCATTAAATGTCATTTTAATAAATGAAAAGACTTCATTTCCTAAATGACTAGGTAGAAACATGGAATGTTCACACAAGTACAAATTCTGGCCTACCACTGACCACTGGCTGGGGACAGACTCACTTGTGTTTGGGGTAGACATGCTTTGTTACTTTTCCAAGGCCACACCTGGACCTGTTCCAGTAACGTGGCTCTTGGTACACTGACAGCCAGCGCATGAGCCACTGCTCATGGCGCCAGTGAAATCACTCTCACTTCTTTTTCTTCCTTAACTTCAAACTGAAAATTCAATTTTCATGTTTAATCCTTTCTTAAAAAACAAAAAAACCCCACAACTTTTTAGTGTATGTATTTATATTCTAGAGTACTCTGTTTCCATGTGTGCCTGCATGACAGAATACAGAATGTGAGGCACTCTGGGTGCTGGGAATCAAACTCAGGACCCCTGGAAAGAGGTCCGTGCTCTTTCTTAACTGCTGAGACACCTCTCCAGCCCATGTGTAATCTTTTATTATAAAAGTTATCAAAATGTTAGTTTCTACCAGTATTAAGGTCATAGACATACGCCAAAGAACACTTGTGAGAGGTACAGTCTCGGGGAAGGGAAATCCTATCTCTAGAGCCAGATAACGGATCCGAACACTCCATTACTTAAAAGCCATGTGACATTGGAGACAGTATCTAATTTTGGGGAGAGACAACTGTTTTTTTAGTAGCTGGCCTTGACTTATGAGCTGTAAGTCTCCATATCCCAAGTGAGAGGAGAAAACCCTACCTCCTAAGTCTGTCCTCACCCACTGTCAATGCCTACCTCACGAAGTTGTCCTAAGGAAGAAATGAGAGGAAAAACTTTCCTACATGTGTTAACCCTCAACACCCTCAAAGCACAGCAGTCTTCCTGTACACATTCTTTTGTTTTGAAGACAGGGTTTCTCTGTGTTGCAGCCCCACTGTCCTTGAAGTCACTGGGATTAGAGGCGTGTGCCGCCGCACCCAGCTTCTGCGGACATTTCTGTCAACAAGTTAGCTTGGTGCGTTTATCACCCAGGAGCAATCCCTGTACATACTGTACTGTCCGCTGCTCGTCTGATAGATGGGGGTCGGAACAGACATAGAAGTGACAGCAGGAAGGCCAGAATTTTCTCCGTCTCCTTTTCTGCCCCGTGTATCTTCAGAAGAGAGGTCTTTCAAAATTTTCCTGTAAAAATAGAACCGTGTTAATGAGACAACACCCTCACAAAAAGAAAACACTAGCCACTCTCTCCCACCCGTCTCTGATCCCACCCAACCACCCAGCCTCCCGAGAGCCCCCACACCTGTACAGGTTAAAAGTGAAGTAATCTAACTGGGTGTGGTGCGTGCCTCACAGCTTCGTAGGCGGAGGCAACAGGATTACTTGGCCCAAGATCTGAATGGAGCCTGGGCCACACAGAAAGGGGCATGTCAAAAGACAGAAGAGACTAGCCCCAAACCAGCTCACCGTGCTCTACTGAATCAACCGGTCAGAATTCTCCTGAGGAGCGGGTGGTCTTTAAAGTCAGCGTGCTGCTGAGCCAGGAGCCAGGTCCCAGAGTCACAAGAGAGCTGAGTCACCACATGCTGAGGCTAAGAAATTTAAATCTCAGAACTTCCAGTGTGACTCATCCTCACGTGACCCTGGGGATGCTAGCTTTTAACCAACCTACTCTCCGCTGTCTGGGCAGGACGGAGAGCCCTGACCTCTCAGGCCGACAGCCACTCACACACAGCGGTTAACTGACAGAGGTACATACTCATGGTTGCAGGCGGCATAAGCACGCCCGGCATGGACACCTGCGCCCGCTGTCCCTGCAGCAGCTTGTTACTGGCGGACACTGCCAGGACACTGCAAGGGCTCTACTGTGTCAAGCCCTGCTCCTGGGACACTCTGACAGGTCACTGACTCCTACCTGCCCAACGGGAATATCCATTCATCCGTCCCTCCAGATTCTCCTCTGGGATGTCTTCTGGAGAATTTCAGATTTCTACACCTATCACCCGATTTAGGGGCCTCTAAGCTTACACACTTCAGTAACCAAACTTGGCCTCACTTTCCTTAGATGACAGATCCAAAGCAAAGCCTTTTTAATGACTGCCAATGATTGGGTAAATGGAGGTTCCCTGAGTTAGGTGAAGGTTCCCATGTTCAAGTCTCTGATTCAAACCTTCCACCTCTGTTTGCTCTCCCAAAAGTTTTAAATGTACACCCAAAGAAATTTCCTTCATAATCTACATAACCTACTTTGTCTTCTGCCTATATATATGTTTCAGTATCCTGCCAGACCCAGGTGTTTCCTATATCCACAGCAGCACCAAAGCAGCTACTATGGTGTCCCAGTCTGACCTCACAGACTTCCATCAAGCTGGACCTGCACTTTCCCTCCCTCCCATGGATGTTCTTACAGACCCTGACAGCATCAAAACAGCCTGTTCTTCCTGGACTTGGCCAGCATTTCAGCCTTTTGACCTCCCTACAGTGCCCCCAATGTCAGCAGTGTAAGTAACCAGAAGAAAATCTACACTGAGGAGAATCTAACAAAAGGCTGGAATGGTGTGCTTCAGGCCCAGGACAAGTAGCTGCAGCTTCTCCCAGCATTCCTTCAGTCCCTACCTGCTGCCTTGTGTGGCTGGCAACTCTCTACTGGCAACCCTCTACCCTGAACTTTCCAGGGCAGGGGCTTCCCCTCCTCCTCTTGACCATGTAATCTGGACATTTTGTTGCTATTACTTTTTTGTTTCTCTCTCTTGATCTCTCACCCCCTTGCATGGTAACCAAGAGCTGCTTCCAATAAACCTAAATTTATATACTTCAATTTGCCTTACATGAGAAGCAACCCAAGCTCATTTTTTAATTATAGAAAAAGGGAGGAATGTTAGTATTTAGGCAGCCTGCTTCTGGGTTGCCTAGCAAGCGATGATGTCATCATGTGTCACCTGCCAAGTAGCCATACCTGGCAGGTGTGGTTATATTGCTCCTTAAAAGGACCAACCCGCAACTTTGTCACTCTCTTGCCCTCTCCCCTTTCTCTGTCGGGGCTACTCCCTCCCTTCCCACATCATGTCTGGCTCTCTCCTTCTCTGTCTTCATCACCATGAAAAACCTCTTTCATATAAAATCTGCTATGTGCATCATCATTTCATTGGTCCTAACAGTAAGTCCCTTAGAGAAACCACAGTTTGTCTAAAAAAAAAAAAAAAAAAAAAAAGGGGCCCCAACCGGGGGCCCGGGGGCGCGCCCCCCCCCCCCGCCGAGCGGGGGGGGGGGGGGGGGGGGGGGGCGCGCGCGCGCGCAGAGGCAGGCTGATCTGTGTGAGCTCAAGGTCAGCTCAACAGAGTGGGCCCTGGACTACACAGAGAAACACTCTCTCTAAAACAAAAACCAAAAACCTACCAACCAACCAACCAACCAACAAAAAAGCTGCCAGCAGACTCTCCAACAGGAGAGAATCTAAGGACACCTTTCCAGGCTCCCCAAGATACTCCCTCGGAAACAAGAGACTAAGATTAGGACACCACAGTTGCAAGGAATCCTGGAACCAAGTAAACGAGTTACAGGCACGAATATCAAGCAGCTTCCCTACTCCTCCAGAAAGAGGACTGGGTCCGAAGAGAGAAGTGTTTCTTATGAGAACTCACATGACTCCAAAGAACAAGGCTGGGCACTACTAGGTTCTGTGGCCCCCAAAGCACCACTGATCTTCCATCCACCTTCTGCCTCAGTCTCTACACTGTAGGATTATGGGCATATTCCACCTAAGGAACAGCTCCACTGAACTGTCAGGCTAGCTTCCGGCAGCCCCTTTTACCCTCCAGCTCATCTCCATTCCTCTGTGATGCCCGTTGAACCACAGAGCCAGTCTCTCCAGGGAAACCTCCAGTGGCCACCCAAGGCTACCTAGACTCAGGTCAGAGCATCCCTCACCATAGAAATCTCTTGCATCAGATGAACAGAGACCTGCAACTCAGACATTGTGCAGAGGGCAAGAGACTTGACTCTTGACCTCCTAAAGGGAAGTCTTCATCAACCCTCCTCAAAGCTCAGGGACCTACGTGAAAGAGGGGGTGGCAGGTACCTCTGTGGAAACAGGGTCAGACATAACAGGACTGACACTCACATGAACCAGGAGGCTCCTGACTTCCTCCGCTTGGCCTCAAACTAACTCTAGCAATCTGCTCTAGTCTCCTGGCTCCTTCTCATCCTCTAGCGCGTTCAATTGCAGGGTATTTGATCGCATTGTAAACCCCAAAAATTGTGAAGTGTAAAAACCCTGTTTCTTTGTTGTGGCTGAGCCCTAGCACACACCTTTAATCCAAGAGCTTTCTGTACATAGGATTTAATAAAGTCAACCCTAGGCCAAGAGGTGGTTTGAGAAACCGCTGACAGGGATTAAAGAGGAGGGGCTTCGAGTTGAAGGATAAAATAGCTTAAGTGCATAGGGCCAGAAGGACAAATAGAAAAATTAAAGCCATGTGTGGCTAATAGAGCCATGAATTTATGGGGATGCGATTTGTTACAGCAATGGAAAACACAGATTAATCTCCAATCTCAGAAACTAAAAAATAAAGTATGCTTCTGAGAAAAATATTAAGAGGTATTGTTGAGAACAATCACAGACTGTCCAGGTTGTCCATAAGCAGGACACAACAGGTCTTTCAAAGGTTCCACTTGCTCTACCGTTAAAATGGCTAATGACAAGCCTACACGGGTGGATCAATGGCCTATTACAAAAGAAAAATCACAGGTTCTAGAATAGTTGGTACAACAGCAGCTAAATGCTCAGCACACTGAGGAAGCTACCAGTCCACGGACTTCTCCTGTGTGTGTTATAAAAAGTCAGGAAAATGGAAGGTGTTAACAGATTTAAGAGCTATGAATAAGTTGATTCGACCATTGGGCTCTTTACAGCCTGGAATCCTGTTGTCTTCTTTATTATCTAAGTCATGGCCTTTGATAGTAATTGACTTAAAAGATTGTTTTTTCACAGTACCTTTGCATGAGCAGGATAGGGAAAGGTTTGCTTTCAGAGTGCTAACTTAGAATAATAGTGGTCCTTTGAAGAGATATCATTGGAAGGTGCTTACCACAAGGCCCATTAAGCATTCCTACCTTGTGCCAATATTTTGTACAACAACCATTAGAAATAATTCTGTTTCCTCAATCTAAAATTTACCATTGCATGGATGGTATCCTACTGGCTGATTCAGATGCAAATACCTTAGAAAAAAAATGTTTGAAGTAAAGAGATTTTTGCCTTGCTGGGGATTACAAATTGCTCCAGAAAAAAATACAGAGGAGATTCTATCAATTATCTAGGATATAAGATAGGTTTACAGGAAATTCAACGACAGAAAGTACAAATCAGGACAGATCAAATGCAAACTCTTAATGATTTTCAAACATTGCTATTAGATATTAACTGGCTACTTCCCACAACTGGATTAACTGCTCAAGAGCTGAGTAATTCATTTAAAACCTTACAAAGTGATAAGGACTTAAACAGTCCAAGAAAGTTATCAGCTGAGGCTGTGAGAGAACTGCCTCTGACAGGAAAGAAAGTAAAGGAAACAGGTGTGGATCGCCGGGATCCTAAACTGGATTCTATTCTGGTTATTTCGCCTTCTGCTCATTCTCCCACGGGAATTCTTATGCAGAGAGAAGTAGTGACTTAGAATAGATATTTTTAGCACACAGAGTAAAAAATTAAAGGAAATATTTCTGAATTGATTCTGAAAGGAAAACTTCATCAATTAGCAGGAATAGACTCAGCAGAAACTGTGGTACCTTTTAATGCTGAAATTGCAGAAACACTGGCAAAGAGTAAGCAGTAATTTTTGGGGAGAGATGAACAACAAATATCCCAAAAGCAAGAGACTTCAATTTATAAAGAGAACTAATTGGATTCTCCCTCATATAATAAACAAGACACCAATTTCTGGAGCACCTACATTTTATTAATGCAAATAAATCAGGAAAGGTGAGTTATATAAATCAGGAAAACTAAGTAAAGTGGCTCAGGGCCCTTGTGATTCAGGAGTTGTATGCCATTCTAATGATGTTATATGATTTTCCTGAGTCTCTTAATATAGTTACCTACTTAAAATAGGCAGAAAGAGTTGTTTTACATGTTGAAACCACGGAGCTTATTCTGGATGATGCAGCATTAACTTATATTTATTCAATTACAACAAGTAAATTAGAAATAGAAATTATTTCCAATGAAAGAAAAGAAACGCAAAGCACAGTGTTGTAAACTAAATCACATAAATGTCGCCTGCTTAACTAGGTTGAGTCGAAAACACAAAACTGATTATCTCATGCAGTAGATCACATAAACCCGTTTCCTACAAAACAACAGAAATGCAAAGCACAGGGTTGTAAACTAAATCACATACATGTCCCTTGCTTATCTAGGTTAAGTGGAAAACAGAAAAATGGTATCTAGTGCAGTAGAGCACACAAACCCGTTTCCAACCAAAGAACAGAAACACAAAGCTCAGTGTTGTAAACTAAATGAAAGAGGAGAAAGTTAAAAACAGCGTTGGAAACTAACACGTGTATCATACACGTATCAGCTCTCATATGTGTCTACCAGGGCCCCTAGCAAAAGGGAATGATGAAATTGATCAGCTGTTAGAAGGAAATGTGCTAGAAGTCGCAGAATTTCATAAGGAACACCATGTTAACAGCAAAGGCTTGAAGAAAGATTTTTCCATCACTTGGCAACAAGCTAAGGAAAGTACATGGCAATGTTCTACTTGTTCTTTGTATGACCAAACTCCATTACCTGCAAGAAGACCCAAAAGGTCCTCAAAGAAATGAAATTTGGCAAATGGACATGTTTCATTTTGCAGAGTTTGGAAAATTAAAGTATATACATCATAGCATAGATACATATTCAGGATTTCTGAGGGCAACTGCTTTAAGTTCTGAACTGGCCAGTTCTGTAATTATACACATTTATTTATGGCTATCATGGGGGCACCTGCACAAACTAAAGTGCCAGCATGTCTCTAGCAAAACGCAATAGTTTTTTGTATTAACAACATAAAACATATTACAGGTGTACCACACAGTCCTACAAGATAAGCAGTTACTGGAAGTTCTAATTGCACTTTAAGAGATGTTAATAAAAAGAAGTGGACAATAAAGGCCCCCAGAGATGGATTACACAGTGCTTTCACTTTAAATGCTAATGAAAAGGGAACACCAGCTGCAGAGAGACATCAGATAATGGAAAAAACCTGCTGAATTAAATCAGCCTGTGTATTTTAAAGATGTGTTGACCTCAGAATGGAAACCAGGATATGTGTTACACGTTTGGGAAGAGGTTTTGCCTTTGTTTCCACAGGAGAAGAAAGGTATGGATATCATCTAAACTGATAAAGATTAGATTTGAACGAGAGATCTCCTGAATAAAAAGAGGCGATAGTTCATTATTATATAGTTCATTATTTTTACAGCTTGGTAATTCAGTTCAAACTGAAGAATAGTTTTCTTCTTAAATAAAAAGGATATTTTTGCTGCTTGGTATTTTAAAAGAGGAGATTTAAAATGTTTTGAATAACAAATTAGAGCTAAGATGAAAATTTGAGCAGGGTGGTGGCAGTCTGTGCCTTTAACCCTAGCAGAGATAGGCGGACCCCTATAACTTAGTTGCTCTTTAAGTTCCAGGGTTATAACTGAGCAGGGTGGTGGTGGTGCACACCTTTGATCTCAGCTCAGAAGGCAGAAGCATGCACCTCTGAGTTCATCGACAGCCTGATCCGTACAGATCAAGTTCCAAGTAGAGAAAAACTTAGATCCAGGTGTGGTGGCTCACACTTTTAACCCCAGCAGTTGGAAAGCACAAGCCTTTGATCCCAACACTTGAGAGACAGAGGCAGACACAAAGAAATCACAATGATTTAATTTTAAAAGCCATTTACAAAAGGCAGGCTAAAATTTAAAATGAATGTCCTTTATAATCTAAAAATAAATATACCTAAAGGTAAATATAATTTCATATTTTCAAACAAACTTTTTTAAAATTTCAATTGAGAGATAATACTTTTTCTATTGCCCAAAACCAAACCAAACCAAACCAAACCAAACCAAACCAAACCAAACCAAACCAAACCAACAAACAAACAAAAAAACCAAAAAACCCAAGGCCAAAGGCTTACCAGCACAAAGCCCAAAAAGTCAGGGAGCTGAGGAGCTGAAGCCTAAACTAAAGCCAGAGCTTGAGCTAACAGCCCTTTCTTCTCCTCTACACAGTCTTAACACCCCTCAACTCAAACCCCTCCCCATCTTTAATCCCTGTCAGCTGATTTCTCACTCAGCCTCTTGGCCTAGGGTTGACTATTAAATCCATACAGAAAGCTCTTGGGTTAAGTGTGTGCTAGGGCTCAGCCACACCAAAGAAACAAGGTTTTACAGTTCGGTTTGGGGGTTCAAATGCGATCAAATATGCTGTAACAGTTGTCGCTTGAGTTCTCTCTCTCAACCTGTTTCTCTATTACTGTGCTGGTAAAAACTGCCTCTTCTCTCTCTGCATTGTCCCTTTAGTAGCTTCCCTTTTCTCTCTCTTTGCCTGAGAGTTGGGCGTATTCTACTGACAATTTTGATTTGTCACTTTCTCTGCCTCTCAATTAAACATCACTTTCAAACAAGGGTTACCTTCCTTCTACAAACTAACTTTACTTTCATTGTCTGGGATTAAAGGTGTGTTCCAACACCCAAGCTTTTCTTTACCTGAAACTTGCTCTATACCAGGCTGGCCTTGAACTCAGATCTACTTGTCTCCTGGATTAAAGGTGTGACTGTATTCCAGCCAGATTACATAGACCTAGAATTTCTTTCAGCAGTCCTGCTCTGAATTAAACTTCCTCTGCACCGAAAGTTTTATCTTCCCATGTATATTAAAAGTACTAACTCTTACTTGCTAGAACATTCTTCTAACAGCCCCTTCAAAGACCACCATATAATTCCAACATCTATGCTATCTAGGTGTTAGAAGCTGCTGACATTATCCCCACCAATGGGGGGCAGTTCCAGGTTCTCTGTATGATAAATAACTTCAGACATTTTCAATATTCTGGAATCAGAGTCTTGTTTGAATCCTACAAATTTTTTTTCTTCGTTTTAGCCAACTATCAATCTAGTACACAAGTTCTGAGCAGCCTTCTGTCTACTGTGGCTCAAAGCCTCTGCAGCGCCTTGGATCTGTTGCTAGGATACCAGGCTATGGGCTATGGCTACATCCTTCAGTTCTCAGAGCACACATGTGCTCGGGAAGCCATTTCTAGCTTTCAGTTGCTAAAATGTTACAAGTAGGTGTTGACCTGCATGAATTTTTTTCTGCCAAGTATTTCTGTGGATTCTTTTTTGCTATTGCTTATTATATTTACGATTTATCTGTATGCAAGTGTGTGAGTGCAGAGGCTGGAGACAACTGCCTCAAGTTCCTTTACTTGGTGAGCTACCCCAGCACGGGTTCTGACTTCTCAGGAGGCTCACTTCCATGCATATCTGAGGACTTCCAGCCAAGCTCAGCTTTGGGCCTAACCTACAGCCACCTGGAAGCCTTACCTTGGGAAGCTTCTTCTCAGAGTCTGACCTCCTCTGTTCAGTAAAGGAAACTCAGGCCAAGTCTCTCTACCACACAGAAAACAGACACGTATTCTAGACGTGCTTTTCATGCTTGCTTCAACATCCGTCTGCTTTCACACCTTTTACTGTATGCAAGTGCTTTCTGCTTACTGCAAGTAGGTGGTAATACAAGTACTTTGATGCAAGAATGTTTCTGTACAAGTTTTAAAATCCAACTTTTTGCTTCTTTTCATCTCTTGGGGTGTACAAGGATACAAAACACAGGCCCTTGTACATGCTAGACAAGTCTTAACAACTGGGGCACATCACTGAATACAGAAGTCCAGGCCAAAAGTTGGATTTAGTCCATTATTCTAGCCCTCTAAATACACACAACACACACAAACTCCTGCAGGCAAATACATATACACATAAAATAAACCCCAAAATACACACACATACACGTGCTAAAACAGTGCTACAGAAGAAAGATCTTGGCTTGAGTCAGTCAGGAGAGGCAACCAGAGGCTTCCACTAAGTGCATCCAAGAGTTATGCTGAACGCAGAGGTATTCCAGGCACAAGAGAACACAAGGGCATAGACAAAGCTCAGGTGCAGAGAGAGAACGAGCGTGCATTGTAATCCAGTTCCTATAGCCTGCAAATCCTGCTTTTATATAGCTGTTAAGTTATAACCAGCAGCAGGAGCCGGGCAGTGGTGATGCACACCCGTACTCCCGGCACTCGGGAGGCAGAGGCAGGAGAATCTCTGAGTTTGAGACCAGCCTGGTGTACAAGGTGAGTTCCAGGACAGCCAGGGCTACACGAAGAACCCCTGTCTCAAAAAACAAACTACCAGCAGGGCATGGTGACACACGCTTTTAATGGCAGCACTGAAAGGAAGGGAGGCAGTGGATCTCTGTGAGCTCTAGGGCAGAAAGGCCCTGTCAATGTCATTAAACTATCTAAACTCTTCAGCTTACTCTTTAGCTTTTCACAGAACCGTGTGAAAACATTTGACAGAAGTACTGACCTGTAAGACGGGCGCCGGGCCAGGATCCCGTGAGCTTTCTTTGAGGGGCCTATGCTGTCACTTGAGTCCTGAGACTCCTCGCTTTCTGACAGAGATGACACCTAAAAACCAGAACCGATTTTAATATGCCGAAGAATCCGACTTTCAAACAAGTACCTGTCCTCTGTCCCGAAGACCCGCTTGTGCATGACTTCCAAGGTCTAAAGGAGGAGTGCACTCCAGGAGCCCAAGCAAGCACACACTCAAGAGCAAACAACAAACTGGATCTCATGGTGCGCAGCCTTAACCCTTTAATCCCAGCACTTTGGAAGCAGAAGCAGGCAGATGTGAGTTTGAAGACACCTGGTCTACAAGATAAGTTTCAGGGCAGAGAAACCCTATCTCAAGAATCCAAAAAGAAAAAGAACACAGTCCAGAGCTAACAATAATGCTTGTACCTCAAGTAAAATGATGCTATTGGGAGGCTGGAGAGATGGCTTAGCAGTTATGAGCACTGGCTGCTCTTCCAAAGGTTCAGCGCTCAATTCCCAGCACCCACATGGTAGCTCACAACCATCTATAGAGGGATCCCTCTTCTGACGTGCAAGTGAACATGTAGACAGAGCACTCATGTCCATAAAACATTTAAATAAATAAATCTTCAAATGATATTATTCTACTAGTTAAAAAAATAAAGATACTTCTGATCTGGCTCTAACCATATTCACACTTGCTATTGAAAAGCCTATTACATACCCAACTGTCCACACCAAGGAGACTGCTGAAGACATATCTACAGATCAAGGGCTGTGTTAGATGGATGCATGTGGAAGGCCAGGGATGGAGACAGCTCACTGATTATGAGCCTGCACTGTTCTTCCAAAGGACCAGAGTTCAATTCTTAGCAGACACACTGCAGCTTCATAAGGATCTGATGCTTCTGGCCTCCACAGGCAACTGCATATACATGCTGGCACTCACAAACAAATTCATATAATTTAAAATAACAAATGTAAGTGTGTGAAGGCCAAAGTCTTTGAAGTCTTTAAAGCCAGAAAAATAAACAGGCAACTAGACCTAACTCCAGAATACTTTAACATTAACAGGCTGGTAAGAAGATCAGAAAATAATAAGGCAGGTGAGTAGGCTGCCTCAGGAAAATTAGCGAAGGCAGTAATGACAAGACAACCAGCGGTATCACATGCTACAAGGATGGAGAGGAAATGGTGGCAAGAAGTGGGTGTCACTAAAATATATGCAATTTTAAGAACTATAGTCAGCAATGTCTCATTTAACAATTAAACAAACCAATATATGTGAGGCACCTTACATGGTAGAGACAGTAAACATTACCTATTTTTAAACCCAAGCTTTTGGCCGAGACAGGGTTTTTCTGTGTAGCCCTAGCTTTTCTTCAACGCCGAGACCCACCTGCCTCTGCCTCCAGAGTGCTGGGATTAAAGGTGTGCACCACTGCCTGGCCTATTTTTAACTCTTAATTAATGAACTAAAATACCAAACATTTGCCTAAACTGGACTATATGCCACCTGACTACAGAATCCAGCTCTCTGCATGTCTGCTGTCTAAACCCTTCCCTTAGCCAGTTACACAGAAATGCTCCACCCTTCTTGATGAGTGGTTCCAGCCGTACAGCAGCTCATTCCTGTGACCCCGGCACTCAGGAAGCTGGGCGACCATGCTTTTGAGGCCAGTTTGGGCTAAAAGTGAGAGACCCTTTCTCAAAAAAGAAAGCAACTGCCAGTGTTCTCCTGAGCTCAACACCCTTCATATCTTCCAGGAAATCTGCATCTGATAGGAACCAGTACCTGTTCCTCAGGTACCTGTCACTGTCATGATTCAGGTAGCACAGGATGCTCCATCCACTTCCTCCAATTCCCCAGACAGGGTCTCACTATGTAGCTCTGGCTGTCCTGGGCTCACTCTGTAGACCAGGCTGGCCTTGAACTCAGATCTGCTTGCCTCTGCCTCCTGAGGAGTGGGATTACAGGTTACTGCACCAGGTCTAACCGCCAGGCCTTATGCTCTGTTTCTTCAGGCACTTTAGTTTGTTCCTAAATTTACTTCAGACTTTCTAAAGTTAAGGCAATAAATCTCTTTAAAGACCAGATGCTAGCAAACAGGAGGGGCATCTTTACTAGTCTCAAATCTACGCAGCTGCCTCTGTCACAAAAAAAGAACACTGCAGCTTTGTGTCACATAGCAGAGACCCCAGCACTTTGAAGTTTGAAGTTGCCTCAGCTACACAGCCAGACTGTGGCTCAAAACAAAACACTACTCCAACAACCCTGCAGTCCCTGTATGGTCGGGAGGAAGAGAGCTGTGACATTTCCTTCCCAGACAGCCTCTTAGGAAAACGACAGCAGCTCACCCTGCCACGCCTTGCAGCCAGAAGGTAAAAGTGGGAGATCACAGGAAAGATGCTCTGTACTGGGAAGACTGGGAAGAAAGGGGGGGCATGGTTTGACCTTCACTTACAATCCTTGTACCTGACCTCAGGGAGGTACACTTTTTTTTTTCTTTCCCTTCAAAACAGGGCTTCTCTAGCTTTCCTGGCCTTGCTTTGTAGATCAGGTTGGCCTTGAACAAGAGGTCTGCCTGCCTCTGCCTCCAAGTGAATGCTGGGATCAGAGACGTGCATGACCATACTCAGCCGGAGAGGTAATTTCTTATGCTAAGATTCATGTTTTTGTGTGTGTTTGTGTGTTGCTGTTTTTTCATGAATGTACCAGCAGGAAAAGGGGTCTTTTCTTTAAGAAAGTTTCTTTTCAGCTAGGCGGTGATGGCACATGCCTTTAATCCCGGAACTCCTATGGAAGGTAGAGGCAGGCAGATCTGAGTTCGAGGCCAGCCTGGTCTACACAGCAAGTTTCAGGATAGCCAGGGCTACACAGAGAAATCCTGTCTTGAAAAACAAAAACAGTAACAACAACCGAAGTTTCTTTCTAGCCAGGCATGGTGACATAGGCCTGTAATCCCAGCACCTAGCAAAGTTGCACAGCCTGAGCTGCACAGTGTCATCCTGTCTACAAAACATCCTATCTCATTTCCTTAACTTCTAAACAAACACTGTCCCCTGACAAAAGACGTCTTGTAATTTCACTGCAGTATGTCAGGAATTCTCCAACACACCTTTTCTACTCGCTTCCCTAACCTGCAGCCTTACTTTTAGTTCCACAGTGGCGCTAAGTACAGCAGCATGAGGATGTGTAAAGACCAGGGCATCTCAGAGCAACCCCTCTGGAAGATCTGCACATGGGAAGAGGACAACGGGCAGTGGCCCAGACCCTCTTACTGACATCTAAGAGCAAGTGAAAATGGACCTAACAATAACTTCCCAGCCCCGTACACATGGCACTGTGCTACAGACATTTGAGATGTGACTGTCTTTGAGGCACATGTGTTAAGTAAGCACTAGGCATACTCTCGGGGTTGGGCAGCCACACCAGTCACAGCAGTGGCAGCTGTACAGGGAAAGCGCTGTGCCACAGCAGCAAAGGAAGGATGAGCTTCAGCTGTGACCTGCCGGATACACTGCCAGAGGTGAATAGGGACAGAAGGGAAGAAGAGACAAAAGGGCATTTCCAAGTAAAATGAAATGCAGACACAGAAGCTCCCTCCACAGACACCACAGAGGGCCAAACCCAGGGCCTAGCAAGCACCTACCACTGAGCTAAATCCTCAGCCCAGTCTTGAAAGACCTGACTGCAAAACATTCAAGAAATCCAGTGTTGCCCAGCCCAGTGGCGTACAACTGTAATCCCATCACTCATGGAGGCAGACAGAGGACAACTGCTATGAGGTCAAGGCCAGCCTGGTCTACAAAGTGAGTCCAGGACAGCCATGGCTACACAGAGAAACCCTGTCTCAAAAACAAACAAACAAACAAACAAACAAACAAAGGAATCAAGAGTAAAAGTAACAGAACCTACAACTTGGCACTGTCTTCTCTAAAGAGTCAAATGGTAAACTTCAACCACACAGTTATCATTTGTGTGGAACGCTGATGGGAGTCTGTAGAGTCCACCTGAGACCTTTCTAGATTTGCTCCACAATGCAACAACCCCTGGTGTGACCCCAGACCCTTCAACAGGCCAAAGAACACACACCTGTGCCAAAAGCATTTCTTGTTTGTCCTGGCCAGAAAGTAACTTAGTGCAGCTTTACTCTTCAGGAAATCAGAACCTATTTTCTGCCCCTTGAGACATAAATCACCAACAACACAGAAATGTCTTTTGCAAACACCTAAGTGTGTTCCTTTCGGTGTCTGTGGAAGAAGCTTAACTGTGACAACACCAGTCGGCAATCACAGGGGGCTACACACCCTGCCCACACCCACAGGAAGGGCCTCAGAACTTACTCCACACACCCCAGTGCTCACAGCGCTCCCCACAGGGCTGCTGACACAGCTTGCTGGTTAGAGCACTTGTACACGGCATGGACGGGGAGTCCCTGGCACAGCAGCGTACACGTGGGCGTGCCTGAGGCCCAGTGCTGCAAAGGTAGAGGCGGAGGACTCCTGGAGCTTGCTGACCAGGAGGCCAGCCAAACCAGAGAGCAACCTTTTCTTAAAAAATAAAAATAAAAATTAAGGTATCACAAGGCATGGGGCATGAATACACCCCCCCAACCCCCCGCTTCTGTTGCAACACAGCATTGGCTATCATGCTGCAAGAGTCTAAAATCTCTTTTAATAAATGTTCACTTCTTTGTTTGGTTGTTTTCTGAGAAAGAAACCGGTTTCTCTGTGTAACCCTGGCTGTTCTGGAACTCCTATCTATAAACCAAGCTGAAGCTGACCTCAAACTCAGGAGATACACCCCCCTTTTCTGCCTCCTCTGCTGGGTTAGAAGCATGTCCCACAGCCGGGCAGTTGGCACATGCTTCTGAGTGCTGGGTTTGATCCTTAAAACCCACATGTTTGGGAGAGGAGAAATTATTCCCAAAAGTTATCCTCCAACCTCCACAGACACTGGCACTTACCTAACACCCCTTCAAAAATAAGTGTTTAAAAAGAGAAAATGAAAGAGATAAATGCGTCTGTTTCCACATCAGCACTGAGGGAACTTCCTGTGACGATGAGCTCGGCATCTGCTCTAACAC